CAGAGCATTTATACAATTTTTCTTGGCAAGCAAATATAGGGGTACAATGATTCTTTTAATAGAAGCGTGACAGGTAGTACATTAATTTCTTTTTGTTTCTGAGATGTCGCCAGGGGCCCGCAACCAACTTGGGGCCCTAGGAAACCACTGTGTATTCATGGTTCAGTGCTGCTAAACAAATGCACTATCTATCACCTATGCCTTTTAATTACTCTCTCCATTCATTTCACAAGCAACCTGGTATACAGGAGTTAATTGTATAATAGAATTAAAGATTATAAAAGAGTTTCTCAGAATTAAATCAGTATTGAGAATAGAGGAAGTTACATTCTTATCAAGAGTATCATTAGAACGAAGCACAATGTCCATAACATTTCTTTGGCTTAGTACGTTGTGTGTCAGCAGAATCAGGAAACAAATCAAAAGTTACAGTGACCATTCGAGAATCAGCCATTCTTCTATTCTTGGAGGGCCACCTATTCCTCCCATGTGCCCGGTACCTTGACTGTGCCAAGCTCTAAGGATTTCTCACTTAGGCGCCGCAGGAGGGGACGTGGCATGCACCTTCTTTTTCTTTTTCTAAATTTATTTTAACACCATTCTTCATTTTGTGCCTTTTTCCATCTCGGTTGTAATCTCTGTGAACTTCCCACCACCAATTCACCCGTCTCACCCGTGTGCCATTACCATAGTTCTGTGCACCTTTCCTACCCAATTTTTTATCCCATTCCCCACTCTACCCCCGTAAAATGTCTCTGGTATATAGTTATTCATTGTTTTTCATTTTTTCTTTATTACATTTATTTTATTTCCCCCATGTACTTTCTAATCTGCCCGTTTATGTTGTTTGCTTCTGCATAAAGTCATTTTATTGTTTGAATAACTGATTGCTTTTGTCTGAGGTTAACAGAACCATGAGAGAAGTTAAAGTTACAAGATAACACAACCTTATGTATTTCCTGTTGGAAATGATGGGAATCAGACAGAGTGAAGATAGAAAATGAGATTCATATGGAACAACAAAAGATCTTGAACAGCCAAAACTCTCATGACTAGGAAGAAAGAGAATGGAGGTATTACAATCCCAAACTTCAAGCTATACTACAAAGCCATAATAATCAAAACTGCATGGTACTGGAACAAGAACAGACATACAGACCAGTGGATTTGGATAGAAAACCAAGATATAAACCCACAGGTTTATGGACAGCTACTCTTTGACAAAGGAGCAAAGAAGGTACAATGGAACAAAGAAAGTTTGTTCAGCAAATGGTGCTGGGAAAACTGGGAAGCTACATGCAAAAAAATTGAAACTAGATTACTACCTCACACCACACACAAAAATCAATTCAAAGCATATTAAAGACCTAGACATAAGAACAGAAACCATAAAATACCTGGAAGCAAAGATGGGCCAAACACTACACAACACACACTTCAACAACATCTTTAAAAATAGAGCACCAGGGCCCTCCCTGGTGGTGCAGCGGGTTAAAGCACTGCACTGAGAAGCTAAAGCCACTTCCGCATGAGTTCGATTCCCGCCTGCCCCGGAGGT